CCACCTCATCGCTTCCAGTAATATAACAGGCGAAGTAATCCATAATGTTACCACAACGATCCCAATGCTTTTCAGGGTCAAATGTGGAGTAGGAAGCGAGTTCGCAAAGCGTTCGCATACCATATCCGGGGAAAACACGATTACTTTTGGATCTGGAGAAGTATGATAGCAAGGCTGGTAAGGGTGGACTTGAGAGCGTAGGGCTAACTTGGGTAGCTTAACAGGCGCGGAAGGATCACCAGGGTACATCCAGTTATACAACTCGGAACAGTCCAGAACACCTAAATGGACTAGTTACAGCGCAGAAGAGAGGAACTGAAGAATTCCCCAAAAAATTTTGAAAGATGGAGAAAATCTTTAATTTTTTCTCAAAATTTTATCGAAACCAATGCTGCCCTGATTCGTCATCTATCGATGGTTCACATAAAGAGCTTTGACAATGTTTCAACCTTCTGTTATCCAAAATTTGGATAAACAGAGAAATTGCTGGAAAGCCTGAAGCCCCCATCTAGATTTTCGAAAAACTCTATTCATTTGAAAACATAGCATTGCAAAACTATATATTCACTGTGCCTCACCGCGTCGTAGTGCATCCGCATTCCATAGGACCAAACCATGTTGCTGTCCGGCTATCCCTATTCGACTGATGTTTTGGCCAAATTCAGTTTTTACACGTTTGATAACATCCTCAAACAGCGCAAAGTAGGGCTTTTTTATTTATTAAAAACAGTACATAGTCATATTCAGACCTTTAACAACTTCTCAGCTTCCGTGATGATTTTACGAGCATCTTGTATTCCCACACCACGGTCAGAGATGTTTGCTTTGTGATGAACATGACCTTCCGTCAAAATTCTGAAACTTCTTTTTGTTTGGATCAAGTCGTCTTGAGAATTCAAATAAGACTGTTAGATTTTTTGTTCTGATTTCGCTTTTATGTTTTGACTATAGGTAATAATCAAAAAAAATCCACTAACTTGTCTCCCTGCATAACGCAGACCTTAATTGAAGTGGTGCCCAGATCAATACCAAGTGAGCAGGACATTTAATTCAAGTCTTAAAACTTCGAATATTTTACAACTGGTACACCTCCTGATTACACGGCATTTGAATAAGGAGATGTAAGGTTTAAGGCATTGCGTAAAAGTGCAATATTCCGTCTTTATTATGAACCCAGAAATTGTTTTGAAATGTTTAACAAGATATACAATGTAAGAATGTGA